TGTGGTTTAATGGTTCTCATCACATGTACAAGTCAGCACTAGTTAGACTCTCAGAGGTTGTTCAGCTCTACAGCGGAAATGTCCCCCCTACTCTGTCAGTGGCCTTGGAGAGAACAAGAGGAAAGGGGCTTCTCTTGTTGCTTGAGAGAAAGTGGAAGCAAGGGCAGCGTGGCTGGATAGGCTTATATGAGCTCATTTCCATCCCAGAGAGCAGGGGCGTGACCGGACCCTCTACCTGGAGTGCTGCAGGGCAAAGGTGCACTTCTTGTAGGTTGCGTACAGCAAGAGGATGGAGCGCAGCATCTGTTTGCACATTGTCACTGTCATCTGGATCTGAGGCTCCTTGAGTCCAGTGGGCCACTGTTGCTCTTTGCTGATGATTTTGCGAAAGGCTGACTTCTCAGAAACTCTGAAGGTCCCAGTCCACTTGGGTGGCTGAGCTGTGATAACCCTGCCAAAGACAGAATCCACGCCACTGAGGCGGATGGGCTGCGGCTTCCTGACCAGTCCTTTCTTGTGGATCATGCTTCCAAGCTCTGACATGTGATAGGGTAGCTTGGGACTTACTCCATTTTCCAGGAATGGGCTGTCGAGGACAAGGGTGACCTCTTGGAAACACAGCTGAACTTCCAGATCAGAAGGGGTATGTGGAAAGCAGGGGGAGGCCCTAAAGGGGTGCTTGGAGGATGGGGTGGGCGTCGTGTGCCGCAGCCATTGGAAGCTCTCATCCAGAGGGGTCCATGGTGACCAAAGCTGATATCCTGCCATTGAAAATCCTAGAGGGAGGAATCAGACATGGCGTCACTTGCCCTAGCATGCTTTAGGGGAGCATGTACATGGCTGCACATTCACAACTCTGCCTCAGTACTAACTTGCACTGCTGCCCCCATGAGTAGATTCCAGGAAGCAGTAGGGTAGTAGTAATTCTATAAAGGACAATAGAAGATGATAACATACTGAATGTGACAATTGCAGTGTGCATGGAAACTTTGTTAGAACTTTTCATAGCATGAGTTGTGGAATGTCCTCATCCACCATTGTGCACTATATTGGTGACTAATGACAGTCTATATCTGTGAAGCAGGAGAGGTTGCTGTGACTTTTTTTTTTTTCAGTACCAGAGATTGAACTCCACCTTGCACTTGCCAGGCAGGCACTTATGCTGCTGAGCTATCTCCCTGGCCTGCGACTTCTTAATGAAACACTAGAGATTAGAAGCTGAGAAAGTCACCTCTTCCACACATGGGACCAACACAATTGCTGGATGTTAGTAGTACTCAAAGTATGAGCCCTAGACTAGCAACAGGATCAATATCACTTGAGAACTCGGTAGAAATTCAGTTTCTTGGAGCCGGGGAGATGGCTCAGTAGAATAAGCGCTTTCCGGGCAAGTGTAAGAGACTGAGTTCAATTTCTGGTTCCACCAAAAAAAAAAAAAAAAAAGAAATTTAGTGTCTTGGGCCTCACTTCATATCTAAAGGGGAAGAAGTTCAGGGGGCCAAGAATCTGCATAAACCACATTCCAGGGGATTTACTGCATCTGACAGCTAGCGAACTACTGTTTCTTTTAAAAGCACCTCACTTTCCTGTTCATTATGGAAGCAATCTCCTTCCCCCCAAAGGCCCCAGTGTTTGCTTTTGTGTTTTGCTTTATTTTTGTTTTGTTTTGTTATACAAGAGAACAGCCCAGTCCAAGCCCTCAACCTCTTGAGTGCCCCTCAGAGGAGTTGCCACTCATGGGAGTGGGAGGGGAGGCCTTTCCATGCTGCTTTCCAGAACTGCTGGCCTGAGACTACAGCTCTGTGACAGTGACAGATGCCTGTGAAACACTGAAACATTCACAAGGCCCTGGGTTTAATCCCCAGATGGTACACACCCTAACTTTGTTTTTGTCTAAGTGTGGGCCTTCGTTCTTCTATGGGAGATTCATGGGTTAAGACTTTTCATCATTTTTTCTTTGAAGAAGGGTTGAGAGAGTATTGCTAACTCAAAGCATTTATCCATGTAGAATTTGGATTTTTCATCATATTTATTAATTATTTTTGGTACTAGGAATTGAACTTGGGGCCTTGCTCTTGCCAGGCAGACATTGTGCCACTGAGCTATATTCCCCAGCCCCATCATTCCATTCTAAAATTGCCAGTATATAAGGGTTTTCCTCATTTTAGGAGTAAGCCAACATTTTGGAACTCTGATATGTTGGTAACTGCTAACAACAAAATCTGGGCTGGGGAGATGGCTCAGTAGACAAGAGCTTCCCTGGCAGGCACAAGGGCCTGAGTTCAATCCTTAGTTCTATATTTGGCCTCCTTTTTTTTTGAGAGCTTTTTGGTGGTTCTAGCAGGGGTGCACAGCTACTTGTTTACCTTTGACCCCTAAGGAAGTGGGCCTGCACTACCAGGGTGGTCGTCCTCTTCCTTGGAGCTTGGAGCTCGCACCTTAGGGAGGACACACATGAAGTGGTGAGTGGGGGAGGGAACATCCACACCCAGCCAGCCACATCAGTGGATCAACACTGGCGATCAATGGGGTGACAGATGTTGCAGCCAGGTCACCCTCACAACTTTTTGTGTGTGGCTTTTTGTTTGTTGTTCTTTTCTTGGAGTCTTGCTATGTAGTCTAGGCTGACCTTGAACTCACAGTGTAGTCTAAGTGCATTTCTCTGCCCTTCTCACTGCTACCAAGTACTGTGTAACAGTGTAGATTTGATCTCATCCAGTATCTGCCATCACAGTTTGTTAGTTTTTGTTTGATCCTACAGGTACGGTGTATGGCGCCTCCTGCATGGTAGGCAAGCGCTCTGTAACTGAGGTACAGTCCTATTCCTTTTTAAATTTTGAGACAGGCTCTCACTAATTGCCTCATCTGAGCTGGGTGTGGTGGTGTGTACCTGTAATCTCAGCCTCTCAGGTGGGAAGCTGAGGCAGGAGGGTCGAAAATTTGAGCTCAGCTTGAACAATTTTGTGATACTCTGTCTCAGAAGAGGGTGAACTGGGGATACAGCTAACTGAGCACCCTGAGCTCAATTCTCAGTACTGTCAAATAAGTCCAGCCTGTTTAAGTTTCTCCAGAACCAACGTGGAGCGCGCAGGTTCTGGCCTTGATCTTCCCGCTCCTTCACACAAGGGTTAGCGGCGCCGCCCCACCCCAGCGCCGAAGTCTCCTGGTCCTTCCTGGGAGGTTGAATTTAGGTACTGTTCATGGAGTTCTAACATCTTCCAGACTCCTGACTCTAACCAGAAAGGCTTCCCCATCAGACTTCCTCCGGTTCCAAGGAACTTCTCAGTTTTCCCACCTGGAAAGGAAGATGGCAGCGCCAGAGTACAGCCTAGGTCTTTGCGAGCGGTCCGCAGAGCCGAGGGGCCGCCGCGTGCACAGGGCCTACTCCTGGTCCCTGGCTCGGGCCTAGCAGAGGCGGCGGCGGGAGCCCAGGCCGGGCCCAGCATCCGGGCGGGGCTCACCTGGTGAACTCCCCGCGTCCAGAGTAGTTACATCTTTCCTAACCCGGTGCCTGGCAACGGCCTTTGTGACCTGGCCAGAGAGCTGGTGGGAGAAGGCCCGCCAGGGCCAGGAAGCTGTGGCTTCCCGGCCCGTCATGGAGATGCCCAGGAAAGAGCTTCCTGGAGGCATCGGCTCCCACCGCTCAGCTCAATCCCCACACACCACACCTGTGTGCTGGGATGGATCACACAGGACAGCCCTGCGAGTGAGTTCTGGGACTGAAGCTAGAGTTAAATTAGCCTTCACTCAGAAAAAGATAGCTGGGCCGGGGAGATGGCTCAGTGGAATAAGCGCTTCCCTGGCAAGCGCAAGGGCCTGAGTTCAGTCCCCGGTTCTGTGGTTGAGGATGGCCGTGTGCTCTTTCCTTCCACCCAGAATTGCCCTTACATTTTGCAAACTTTGAACACAGCCTTGGTGAGAGCACCTTCTATCCTGCTCTTTGGGTGAAAATGATGGAGAGTCTGAGGCTCTGAGAATGAGGTCAGACCGAGACCCTGGGTCAGTGGACAGAGGCTTGCTTGAGGACTTGTCCAGAGCACAGCATGCGTACAGGTGTCTCACAGGAGTGGAGCAAGGTGTGTTTGGAGAGGAATCCAAAAAAGGAGCAAGCAAAGGATGATGAGCTTGAAGAGGTGCAAGTGATCTGGGGGTTTTTGCTTTGTTTGATTTTGTTTTTTGAGACAGGGTCTCCCTCTGCAGTCCAGGCTGGCCTTGAATTCACTGTGTAACCTAGGATGGCCTTTACCTCACAGCCATCTTTCTGCTTCCGCATCCTGAGTGCTGGGATTACAGGTGTGCACCATCATGCCTAGCTAAGGTGCAAATGATTTAAAATAAAGACTTTTTCCCCAGTTTATTTTTATTTATTTGTGTGTGTGTGTGTGTGTGTGTGTGTGTGGCTAGCTCAGCCCACCAGGGGGCGGGCTGGCTGGCATGCGGTGCTGGGGGATTGAACCATGGTCCCTGTGCTTTGCTAAGCTTGTTCTAAGTAGGTGCTTTAGACCACTGAGCCATCTCACCAGCCCCTCCCCAGTTTATTTTTACTTTACTCTTTGTGTGTGTGTGTGTGTGTGTGTGTGTGTGTGTGTGTATGTAGGATGGGGTGTACAGGGTGCACAGGGTCTCACTGCGTAGATTGGACTCATAGTGATCCTCCTGTTTACAGCCTCCCAAGTGCTGGGATTACAGGCACGTGCCACCACGCCCAGTCTCAATTGCCATCTTAGGCCAGGCCAGCATGGCAGGCCACGGAATTGAGCTCCCAGCCCCTGCATCTGCCTAAGCAGGCTGTTTAATGTACTGAGCTATTTGGCTGGCCCTACTTTACTATTGAAGAGACTCCTGTTAAAAAAGCAAACACAACAGTTTTTGTTGCACAGTAGCATTTTACTTTTTAAATGAAAGCGAAAGTGTATGATTAAAATTGGACAGACAGACTGTTGTACTGTTATGGCAATCTGTACAGTCTGTGGTAATCTGGGCCAGCTGTAAAGGAACATGTTCCTGAAAGGACCATTTCTGTCACCCACCCTAATGCCCAGCACCACATGGAGACCAGATCTTGGATTAGTCATCTTTTCATCTTTATAATGAATATGTGAGCCAAGAGAATTAACAAAATTCACTTTGAAGCTTTGGAGGTTGATTCACTTTGAAGCTTTGGAGGCTATCACAGCACAAGCCCTGCAAGGGCTGCAGCACATGCACGCCCTCAGGTGGAAGAAGAATCCGAGGAGCCAGCTGGCTTTATAATGGTACAGTGCGGCACTTACTGCCCAGCCCTGGATCACCCCAGGGCAGTGCCCTAGTGGTTTAATGCGGGATTGTGATGAAAGAACACTATTTGGTTTTTCTCTTCAGTTTATCATGCTTCTTGTTAGTAGGCCAGCAGGGGGATCCTTGGTCCCTGTGTTCTAGGGCAGAAGTCCAGTTCAGACATAGAGGAGCACTGTGAAAGGAGAAGCAGGATTTATTGCAAATGAAACTGTGCAGGGGGCCTGCCCCGTAGCTCAATTCTTTAAGTGGCTGCTTCAACAAAGCAGTCAGACTCAGGTTGCTGTGGTTCGATCCCCACAACTCAAGCCAGCCAAACCTGCCCTGAAGGTATTGGGAGCAAAAAAAAAAAAAAAAGAAAGAAAAGAAAAGAAAAGAAAAAGAAAAAAGAAACTGTGCAAGCTGGGGAGGGGGGGCGTGGTGGCACATGTTGCAACCCTAGCACTTGGGAGGCAAAGCAGGAGGATCACCGTGAGTTCAAGTCCAGCCTGATTGGTATAGTGAGACCCTGTCTCAACAAAACAAGAAAACAGTGCAAGGCAAAAATGCACCTCCTTACCTTACAGTTTTAACACAAGTTTAAGCTTTACATAATTTTTGTTAGGATATTCTGACTTTTTGGGCCCACCCAGTCCTCTCTGACATGCTTGCAAATGTCAATGAAATAAGAAAAGCCCTGACAGAAGTTATTTGTGCCAGATCAGGTGAGACTTTCCCAGGTGTGTGGCCAGAGCTGCCTGGTGGGTACTGAGGAGCAGGTTGTCACCGGGCGTGTTCTGTAAGTCAGGTCTGTCTCTTGCAGCTCCATCCTGCATCGTGAATCTCCCCGGGTTTGTTTTGTTGTCTCTAGGTTCGCTCCATGCCTCAAGGCCTACTACTGTTTTTCTACCTGACATTTTCATGTATCCAAATGCTCATAATTAAATGTATAGTATTTATACTATTCCCTCAGGTGGCTATATTGTCATTTAGCCCATTTAGCCATCCCTCAACTATTGTAATAGAACAAAAAGCATTGTGGTTAAAATTGAGTGTGTTCTCCCACCAATGATTTTAATGAAATGATTGATTAGGCCTAAAGGTTTAAACTTTTTGTAGTTCTCAATACTTGTTTATTTATTTATTTATTTATTTATTTATTTTTTGGCAGAACTGGGGATTGAACTCATGCCCTTGTGCTTGCCAGGCAAGCGCTTTTTCTACTGAGCCATCTCCCTAGCCCTACATATTTTCTTCTGAAAGGATTGTACTAGCTTATGGTGTGAAAAACTCTTTATGACCCTACCAATTTCTCCTTAGCTTCTACAAACTGGGTATTATCTTTAAAATATTAAATTTTAGCCGGGCATGGTGGCAGCACCTGTAACCCCAGCATTCTGGGAGGGTGAGGCAGGAAGATGGTAAATTAGAGCCCAGTCTGAGCAATTTAGCATGATTATCTTTATTTATTTATTTATTTATTTATTTTATTTATGTGTGTGTGTCCAGCTCAGCCCACCAGGGGGCGGGGCTGGCTGGCATGTGGTGCTGGGGGATTGAACCATCATCCCTGTGCTTTGCTAAGCTTGTTTCTAAGTAGGTGCTTTAGACCACTGAGCCATCTCACCAGCCCCTAGCATGATTATCTTTAAAAAAAAAAAAAAAAAAAGATGCTGGGGAGATAGTTCAGTGGCTTAAACACCTGCCTGGAAAGTGCAAGGTCCTGAGTTCAATGTCTAGTACTTCCCCCAAAAATGTTTTGCTTACGTGGTAACTGTGAAATGGGAACTCATACAGCGCTGGGAAAGGACATTGTTACATGACTTGTATTGACTGGGGTTTAATTGTCCCCGTATTATTTTATTTTATTGCTGACACAGACTGCGCAAACTGGGTTTGGAGCAGCTGAAGGCAAGAGCCCTGGCGCCCCCTACCGACTGCAACGGTCCGTGACGGGCGTGGGTGAGCAGCTCGCTGCGGGGGTCCAGGCATCTGTTATTCCCGGCGTGGGAGCCCAGCGAAACGCAGGCAAGGACGGTGGCGCTGCGCAGGCGCCGCACAGCCCGGTACCTGCGCGGGCGCGGCGGAATGGGTGTGAGCTGGTGCGCAGGCGCACTGGTGACTCGTGCCGTCACCGGCGCGCCTGCGCAGTTACTCCTTGTCAGGCGACCGCCATGGCTGGACAAGAGGATCCTGTGCAGCGGGAGATTCACCAGGACTGGGCGAACCGGGAATACATTGAGCTCATCACCAGCAGCATCAAGAAAATCGCGGACTTTCTCAACTCGTTCGGTCAGCGGGCTTCCTGGGAGGCGGGAAGGGAGAGGCCCCGGGGGCGGGCTGCGGGGAAGCCAGGGGGACTTGCTTCCTCCTCAGCCCCACCTTCGCGCTGCCCAACGTCTGCCCGCGAGGCCCGCGAGCAGTGTGGCTCCGTCGCCATCCTCGCCCCGGCCCCGCAAACGGGCCTTTTCCACGCTCCTCAGTGTCTGCCCCGTGAGTGCCGCTTCCCTTCCCGTCCGTGGTCTCCCAGCCTCCTCTGTGCCGCTGAGTGCCAGTCACCACCTCCTCCGCAGGGTGCCTTTCGCGGTCTTGTCACTTGCCTGACACTTCCCAGTCGCTCTCAGGACGGGATGGAGACCCTCTTGCGCTGTACTTTTTAGTGCCCCGCGGCCGCCCCGTCCATTCCTCCTCTCCCTGGTGTGCGGTAGAAGCTGAGGACAGAGGTTAGCCGTCCGGGTCTCGGGCGCTAGGGAAACACTGCCTTGCTGGCTTCTGATCTGTTAGGTGTCTGCTGCTGTAGTTTCGGTCCTCAGAGCTAGCAGCAGGTGCTTTGAGCAGAGGCAGCTTTAGCAAACTTCCCTAGGTGCAGTCTTCTCGCAGCAGACTTAAATTTCTCTGCACTGTTTTTATCTGTGAGATCGCAAGCCTGTAACAGACCTGTTTCCTTTAGAAAAATTAGTATTGGATAAACGGTGCAAAAATGTAGGGATGATGCTTAGTAATCTTTTTTAACCTGTGCACTTTTGTTTCCACTAAGCCTGCCATATTAAACAGTTAAGATTAAGTAGGAAAAACTGGTGTATTAATTTTTTTTTTTAATTTAGTACAGTCTACAGGGTCTCACTACATAGATTGGACTCCTAGTGATCCTCCAATTTTCAACCTCCCGAGCGCTGGGATTATAGGCGCACACCCCCACGCCCAGTCTTAGTTGCAGCCTCAGCTCACCCTGGGGGCAAGGCTGGGCATTGAACCCCTGTTCCTGCGCCTGCCTAAGCAGGCTCTTTAGTCTGCTGAGCTATCTGGCCGGCGAGCCATACTTACAGTAATGGGCATTTGTTTTTGTTTCTTAACAGTAATAGCAGTGAGTGTCCTTATTTGTTAAATCTATCTATCATCTATTTATGTATTTTCTGTGCTGTTCAGGTGGGACCCCTGATCTCACATGTGCTACACAAGCACACTGCCACTGAGATAGATCTCCAGCACCTATCTGTTAATGCTTCATCTAAAGAGAAGTGACAGATCAAATACATGGATTATTTACAGATTAGAAGTTCATTCTCAGGCTCAGTGACTGGGTTCGATCCCAGTGTGCCGTGCCAGCCCCACCCCCGGGGCTCACTGAGCTGATGACTGAGACTGGACATGGTAGCATCTGTAATCCCAGTGCTTGGGAGGTTGAAAACCAGAGGATCATGAGTCTGATCTGTGTAATGAGACCCTGTAGACCCTGTACTAAATACATTTTTTTTAAAAAAAGTTCATTCATCTTTAAATAAATTCAAAAAAGGAAGCAGTATGTTCATTTGGCAAGACATCTTTGAGCTGAGTCTTTTTTATTAGTAGCTTTTTGCCGAACATAACAAGTGCATGGGGTGGGGGAGCTGGTCTGTGTGCAGAACACATGTTCATTCCTTTTTGTTGTCTTCATCTCCTCCATTCCTCCTACTCTTTGCCCTTTCCATTTGCAGAGGCTCCATTTCTATATTTTCTCCAAAAGGATAAACTTGAGGGATTTGCATGTAGAAGGATGCACCTCAGGATCATACTGTTAAGTGAAATAAATCAGTTGTACAACCTTAAGTACTGCAGTGAGGTTTCTGTTATATGAGAAGCCCAGAATATGAATGAAGAGCAAAGTAAAAGTTAGATAATAGGAATTAGGGAGATCTTTTCCAGCTGGGCAGGGGAACTAGAGAGGGGAGTGAGCCTCACTGGAGCATTGAGATGGAGGAGGCCACATGACTGGAGGGCAACCTGGTGGTCCAACAGGATGGGTGGGAAAAGGTGCAGAGTGAACTGCAGGCACTTTGGCCAAATGGTGATGTCTGAGGGAGTGGGGTCGGGAGTGTTGTCTTGGTCCAGCTGACTGTCTTGGATGGAGACTGGAGACTGCAGGTAGGGAGGTGAAGGTTGCAGAAGGATGACTGATCAGTGTTGGGAGAGCTACAGGAAAGAACTGTGCTGACTGCCTTTATTTCTTGTGTGTCAGGAACAGTTGGAAAAAGTGGCTTAGTAATTTTAGTTAAGAGATGTGGAGCTGGGGAGATAGCTCAGTAGATAAGTGCTTGTCTGTCAAACACAAGGGCCTGAGTTCAATCCCCGGTTCCACAAAAAAATAAAAAATAAAAAAATAAAAGAGACGTGCACATAGAAGATATTTTGAGGTTGCAGTTTTGAAGACATGAAAGGGGACTGAAGACAGAGAGGAAGAGGAGGAATATAGGCTCTGTGGGGCTCAGGGACTCTTTATTCCTTCCAGTTCTCAAAGGCCTGTGGACAGTGATAAGATGCTCTCCTCTGTGGCACTAGTGACCGTGTGGCTTCGTGGAATTTAAAGCCTCTGACACCTTTCTCTTCCCCTCAGTTCCTGCTGCTGCTGCTGCTGCTTTTCTTTGTGTGTGTGTGTGTGTGTGTGTGTGTGTGTGTGTGTGTGTTTGAGACAAGATTTAGGGAGGGTCTAGAGGGTGTTCAGGATCTCACTACTAGGTCAGAGTTGTGGTGATCTGCCTGTTTTTTTTTTTTTTG